CAAATTTGTATAAATATTGTTACACTTTTGTAAGTATTTGAAACACTGTCAATTCAATCAAAAACCCCCTGTTTAATTAAAAAATAATAATAAAAAAATGTTACTTTGCAAAAAGGCCATAAAATACGCATTTCGTCAAAACGAATGGCCCCAAACAAACACACACGTTGGCACAAACACACACACACGAACACAATTCAATACCCAGTCAGTCAGTACACAACAATTCATAAATTTATTTGAAAATTAAGATTTCGTTTTTATTTGCAAAAAAAAAAACAAAAATACTATTTTTTTATTAGCGTTTTAAGCAAAACACAAACAACGAGTCATCCTAGTCAACAAGAGGTACGTACATATGCACCGTTTACATACATTCGCACATCTGATAATGCGTTTTCTTAACCTCAAAGAGATGTGTTTTTTTTAGCAACATTGTCATGTCACGTTATACTTCCATAGTAGTTACCTCTCCGATCAAAAATTATTGTTTTTTAAGCTTTACATTGGCCGCTCAATACACTCGAGAATTGATGCCAAATTGCAATGTGGATTCATGTTGTGTGCGGAGGTTTCGAAAACATCAACAGTGATTTACAACCTCAGGTTGTTACAGTTTTTATATGTTGGTACATATGTTTTATATTTAATTTTAGTTTTTGTAATATTGGCTAAAATTTTATTTATTTCATTAATGTTTTTTTTTCATAATTTAATGGATGACAGCACTCAGACAACCATCCAAAGACATTGCCATCTTCATCGTCATGCTCTTCGTTGCCGTGTCTTTGAATATTTCGAGATTACAACAAATTGATGTGAGTCAAACACATTCGACAGCGTTCATCATTGGTTATTATATTAAACTGGTTTTTATTTTGTTTTTTTCTTTTTCAAATTCTAATGACATTCTACAGATGGTTGGCATTTTACCGAATACAAATTTAGCATGAAATTTTTACACATTTGTGTGTGGAAAGAAAAACGAAATACATACTAAGCGTTGCTAAACGTTAAACATACAGTGAGTGTCAAAAAATAATTTGTAAAATACTTGAAATTTTAACTTAGACTCGGTACGCTATACTAAATTTCCTTTGGGAGTTTGTACGTCATTTAAAGGAAATCGAATGAAACTTGGAGTAGTTTAAGATAAGAGTTTAAAATCCCACATGCAATTCTAATAAGACAGTTGTTGTTAAGATTTTAAAGAATGCATAGAATGGTAAACATCTCTACAGATCAAATTCTATTATTAGGGGACCCCCCCATTCTCGGGGTCAACATTGTTTTTTTATTTAATTCGAATCTACACTAATTCAAGAATGTCCCTACAAAATTTCAAATGGAAATCTCAAGAACTCTTGAAGATATAGCCGATTTATTGTGTCAGCATCAAGTGACGGCTAAAGGGCTTCTCAAACTTTAAACGCGTTTTTCTCTTTTGCGAATGACGCGCACGATAAGTCAAAAACTAATAACCCAATCGGTTCCAAATTTTTACACGTTTCTCCGTGAGTGTATAGCTATCGTATGAACTAGGATAAAGCCAATCGGTGAAGATCTTCCTTATTTTTTAACTTGGTTTCTGGTCGAAAATCGGCGATTTTCAAAAAATATTTTTTCAAAGGTCCGCCATTTTGTTAATTTTAGAGCGAAGTCAACAATCTTAGTTCATACGAGAGCCAGACATGTACTCTTTCTAACACCGTTGGAATTTTCGGATTCCGATGTTCCAGTGAAAAGTTATCATGCCCGCCATCAAAAATAAGGACTTTTCTTTAATTACAAAAAACAACAACAAAACAATAACAAAAAAATTTTGTAAATTATTTTTCTTCTCTTTTAAATCTTCAAATATATATGTGCAAAGTTACAAACCTTAACAATCATTGGTATTGATTTACCAGCCCATTGAAAATCTTCAAAAATTAAAATCGAGAATGGGTGGGGTTCCCTTAAATTGAAAACATTCGAATTCTCGCCGCGAGCATTCGAGAGAAAGATCGTATTTTAATCATTCTCCGCACGGTGGGTTTCAACCATTTTAAAGAAAGTGGGTGGCATCAAGCGGTATTATATGAAATTCCAGAATGTATGATTTTGTATTGGAGGAAATCTACAATGGAGCAGATGTGTAGGTGTGGACTTCTCTGAAGATATATTCTTTTAAATTAAATAGAATGTTCCAAATATGCTCCGATATAATGAATGAACTGAAATAAAAGTACTGATTAGCAAATGTTCAGTGGTAGGAAGACCACTGAAGAAAACACATGAATTAGAACCAGAAGTCTATGAAGAGCAGGAATAAAAAGAACTCCTGCAGTTTAGCGTAGCTGAACCTAGGGGCAAGCTGAAGAATAATGAAGATGGCGATGGATACCTCATAGATGAAGAAAATAAAGTCGAAAAAGATGACGATGTGTCTGCCATATATGGAAATATTGCAGAAGAAACCAAGGCCTAAGAAGATATTTTAATGGGGAAAAGCGGGGCGTCACATAAATGATAACTAAATGTTGTCTCCAAGAAGTTGTATGAAGCCTGTTGAAGTAACTAGAAGCGGGGTAGATTACGGATAAGTAAATGAAAAGTTTAAAAATTAAAGTCGACTTTTGATCTTTGAGGAAACCGCTAAGTCGATTTTTCCAAAACGGCTTTCGATTTTCTTCACAAATACTTGATTAATTATCACAAAACCCAAATTACTCAAAAATTACACATTCCAGAACTTTATATTATCTGTTGACTTACATTGCTTTAGATTTGTATAATAATGTATGAGTAAATATAAGAAATCACCACAAAGGATCAATATATTTACTTTGCGAGTTGCCAGCATGCCTTGAACAGAAATTTAATTTGTCAGCTCTGCTTGCCAGCCGTCTAAATTTGAACCCATATTCACATTTTTATATGGTTAATCTTTTGAGCAAAGTAAATGATCTTTAAATATAATTTTAAATTTGACCATAAATGTGACTAATATTTAGTTTACAGGCAGACAGGCGAACATACATAAATCGACCCTAAAAGTGACGGGATATTGGTTATTTTTTGAGTAAATCCCATATAACAGATCATCCAATTTTCCACATTTTTGAACCATGATATAATGGTGACGTTTGGATTGCGATATATTGCAGGTCAATTTGTTTTCAAGTTCTATTATTCAATTCATGTTCTATCATAACAAATTTACACAATTGGTGCTAATTTTCAAAACCACTTACTGTACGAAGGGCCAAAATTCTAATCCCTTTCAACAAAATGCACTAATTTTAGAAATATTTACGAAATATTCTCCTTATCTCAGATCTACATTCCAGGGCAACAATATACATTTCTGGCATGTTTATGTACACCTTCAGTCTCAAGGCAATGAGGGGGTATATACACTTTTCTACAATGAATATTTGCCACAAGGAAATAACGGATTTCGGACATTTTTAAGTCGATTTAGAAATCTCCGTCCGTGCTATAAATCCTCTGGACAATGAAGTTAATCTATGGAACTTCTCTACACATAATAACATTTACATGTCTTCCACAAATAGAAAATCTGTTATAGCTCCTTTTAGATAGGGATTTCCTATATGTATATATGTATCATTATCTAGTTATGACTTATGTAAAGAACCTTACATCGACATTATTTCGAAATTTAGAACACCTCTAAGTTCCCCACAGGTGTTTAGGTCTTAAATGCATATTAAATCTTATATAGGTATTTGTATAGGTTTTTATACATAGTAATCATCAAAATTTCCAAGAAAAGAAGAAACTTCCATTGGTATTATATGAATAGAGTAACTTCTACAGGTCTTCTTTAAATATATGACTATTTATCGACCTCCCTAAATATACATTTGCAAATTTATATGCAACTAGCAGACCCGGCAAACGTTGAATTCATGAAAAATATATTTCAGAAATTATTAACCATTTAATTTACGTCAAATTTCCGCAATAAAAAAATACGCATTATATTTTCCCCACAACGGCAAACCTTCATTTACTGATACCGCAATATATAAAGGGATGTCTTTGCAAAATAGTCAGGCTGAATCCCAGTTTGTTGTTTACAAAAAAAAAAAAAAAAAAAACAACTATTTATTAGTGGGGATAGTGTTAAGTAAAATTGTTATTGTTAAATATTAAATTATGTCAGTATGTATGGTGTTTCAGCTTATCAATTGGTCGAACTTATTCCTCCTAACATTTTCACCAAATATAAGTATCGATGGCGCAATTACTATTCCTATTTTGGTCACATACGATTCATATGTCTTTGGAATCATCAAAATTGGTGCAGACGTTCTTGAGTTATAAAAGTGGTAAGTAACACAACATTCGATTACTCCAATCTCCGACTTTTTGTATGTTTTTCTCGTTGGTAAAACTCTTCGCACTGCAATAATCGGTGCAGTAATTCTTGAGTTACGGTGCAAATACACAAAAAAGCTAAATATTGCGCCATCTGTCAGATGAACTTCAAACTACACATGAACACTCCTCACGCCCCATAGAGCCTGTACATACAATTTGGTAAAAATCGGTGCAGTAGTTATTAATGCAGTAATTTATATATAGATATATATAGAGATACTAATAAACTTTATAATGCCGCTCTTTGTATACCTTCGATACGAGTACATTAATTAATGTTGTCACCACATCTACTTTTTTTAGAGATCATAATTTAATTGTGTAGTATTTACACAATTAATAAAATGTACATTTGTTTCGTTTTTTTACTTAGTACTGATATTTTGCAATATTGTTGTCCGTTTGTTATTTTTTCTGCTATTTCTAGTCGATGTGATTTGTTGATGTTAGGAAACATTTAGTAAATTAAATCAAATTTCGATCTCGCAGAGAACTATTAAGATTTAAGATAAATTATATCTTGTGCGTGTTTTGGTGTTTAAGGAAATAATAAAAAACTGGAACACAGAATAAAGTAATTATTATAAATGCAATTTCCTACAATATGTTTAGATTTTTATTTGTCTTAAATGTGGCAAATTAACTAAGAATTAAATGTGAGAAAGAATGTAAATTATACATATCGATTTTTTATATTGACCCAGTAAGTCAATATAAAAAATCGAGTTTATGTAGGGACTAAACTATGGAGTGGAGTTTATGTTAAATTTGTCATAGAGTTAATAGAGGTCTCAATATTTATAATGGCTTTGAAATTTTTTGCTACCGTTGCTACCGCATATTACGGAACCGGTCCACTCCAAAATTATATTGGCCTATGTCATTGAGAAAAAAAATCATGAGGAGATATTTAATCCCCTAAGACCTGAAACACCAATCATTACCCTTTGGCTGAAAAGTCCACCTATAGAGAACTATATTAAAATATGAGCCTACAGAGTAAATAACATTATCATAAAATTATAGGGTAATTATACCCTATCACATCTCTTGGAATCAATAGGAACTTCTCCGGGCTATAAGTAGATGCCCCATGATGACATTTTTGTAATATTTTACACAAAAGTCCATTTGACGCGCTAATTCTTTACCGATAATTTGTTTTGAGAGAAGGTGCCTGAGACAAAGTACACCACAGTAGTTCACCGAATAATTTTCTGGTCACATTTTCCAGGCATCTTATTGATATATATGATACTATCTAAAAATTACCTTCAAATAGAAAGGAAAGAGGTCCTTAAAGGGTCTTCCATGTCTACAACACCTTTATGGGGTATTTTTATTAAGTCGACTTCAGATGTTATTTTATAAAAATAACCCTTTTAGTATAAATGAGAATCCTTCTGTAAAAATAGACTTCATATGTATACCGCGTAAAATTAGGAACTTCTATCGATGAAACCGTTCTCTTTTTTATTTTTAAGACCTAATATATTCCTTCTATAGATAGGAGACTCACTTAATGTTTTCTATAATTAATTATCGTTTCAAAATTGTGTGAAACGGATAGGGTACAAAGACATAAGGGGCTTAAACCCATTATTACTACATTTTTGTCGTAGCTATATGTATATATCCTGAAGGTGTAAAGGTCTTCTGTAGTTATTATTTATTCTGTTTATATGGAAGAACTTCTATAGGTCTTATTTAGATAAAGGATCTTCCTTCTACATGTTCTGTTAAAAAAAAAAAGATTTTAATAAGTCTTCATGGTTATACGAACAAATAAAAAAGTGCCAGTCGGTGCTGCCGACAGATATATACCCCCACCCTATTTTTACAGGGGAGTCTTCGGAGTTACACACAGGTTTTATTATTCGTTTCTGGTCAATTGCTATCTTCAAACGATCTAGTTGTTGACAGTAGAGCTCAGAATTTAGCGTTTGGCCATATGGAAGCAACTCATAATGAATAATGCCCTTTCAGTCCCACCAAATGCATAGCAGAACCTTCCTGGCCGTTAGTCCTGGTTTGGCCACCGTTTGAGGTGATTCACCGCTCTTTGAGCACGATCGTTTTCGCACAGGGTTATCGTATGTGATCCATTTCTCATCTCCAGTCACCATCCTTTAAAGAAATGGGTCTACCCCATTCCGTTTGGCCAACTCTTCGCAGATGGAAATTCGATCCTGAGCGATGTTACGACTGCTAGAATGTCGGTCAGCATCGATCATTTCTCCGATATTATCGACATTTTCAACGACCGGCCTAATGGATTTCTTTTTCCCCAACATAATATTTCAAATACTTTTATCGTTTTTTTCGTGGAGTAAAACTGAAAATGTAACAAAGTGTTACAGGAACTATTCATATGTTATTGTACAAAACTCCTAGTTTTATATCATGCCAAAACGTGTCAGCTAATGAACGAATTATTAATAGACTCACCTTTAGGTATATCGATCTCATATCTCGACTAGCTGAGTCGATCTAGATATGTGTGTCCGTGTATAAATTATAACTTGTAAACAAGTTACAGGCCACAGTTACGGACTAATCTTCGCAAAATTTTGCAATAAAGACCCCTTTTGGTAAAGATAGGTTAATATTTAGGCATGAAATAGACCAAAAACTTTATTTTTGTCTGATTTTCTGGTCGCTCCAAAGGCCGCAATTAGTCTCAAACATCATGAATTTTTGCATGGATAAGGGGATCTTGCCAACGAATAAGCATGCCGGTTTTGATAAAGACCGGACATGTGAAAAATGACAAAATTTGTATTCTATAGCGCATGCCCCTGAAGGACATATACCCGAGAAGTTGATAGTATATCAAAGAGGAGTGGTTGGCCTTTAAATTGATACCAATTATATTGTCGTATGTACTCGGATGTGGGAGTTACACTAAAATATTTACAGGTGCTTACGTATTCAGATATTATTTAGTAACCCATTACCACACTAGAGGGCGGAAAAATAGCGCTGATCGCTTTGAAATTTTCCATGAGGATCCAGGTATGGTCAAGGACAACGTCTATAATAACGTATATAATGATCAGATAATAATATTGGCATGAAGTGGACCGAAAACTTATTTTTTCGTTTGTCTATAGGCCACAATTAAAAGCCGAACATCACAACACAACCCACTGTGAAGGGAATCTGGACAAATAATTAGAAGGACTGTACTGAATACTAGTAATTTTTTGACCTCTAGCCAAGATGGTGAAAATATCACGAAATATTGCCCAAGCTCAGAATATAGAACCACAGAAAGTTAGACAGTCGTGGAAGTTGTGTAGGGTATCATCATATAAAGTTAGATTTCATCATACAGAAAGTTGGATTTTCGTGGAAGTTGTGTAGGGTATCATCAAGACCGTCTGCTCACTGCTTATAAACTACAATGGGATAGATTTTCCAGAAATGAGAAAGCATTTAAAAGTACCTATATATTAGATATTGTGTACAATGGATGTTGAAGAATCGATCCCAGTTTTTAGCTAGGGGTCTGATAGTTCAACCGACCACAGTTCAGTTAAACAAACATTTAAAAAAAATACTTCAGATAGTTTCGATCTGTTCCTATTTGTGACATCAGTCATTCCAATAAATGGGAATCCAAAATATAAAATTACAGCCAACTTGGTTGAAAAACGTACTCAAATTCCCCTTAATACCAAATTTTCGGAGGTGTCAATATATGGCCGATTTTTGACCGATAGTTTTCTGTAGGAAGATTTGCTACCCAATTAAAATCTAAAATACATTAAGACAGTAAATTTGTTTACATAACGTGCTCAAAGTCCCAACAATTCCGAATAATGGGGTATATTGATATATGGAGACTACCCGAAAAACTAGTCCAATATTGATTAGTTTTTTATAGGGAAATTATCTATACAATGAGAACTCAAAATTACTGCCAACTCGGTTAAAAAACGAACCCAAAATATACAACATGTAGGGGACATGGCCCGCCCCCACACCAAATTTGGTTAAGCTAGCTTGTCAGCAAAAATTTTATGCCGCAATTTCAGCCATGGTTAATTTTTGGGCCTTATATAGTTTTACTGTTGATAGAAACACCAGCATAGATCTCCTATAAATATGCATTTTAAGATAGAAACCCTAATTTTGGTCTTTTATAGGCAGAAGACCTTCGAACAACTTAAAATTTCCAAAACGCAGAAGAACATAGATAGTCCCTCTTTTAGGCATTGAATGACTTATACAGGTCTTCAATATACTACAGAAGACATATGGAAGATCACCAATAGATAAAAAAATTTATAAGAAGTAGACGTAGAAATAACTCCTTTTGTAGAAATAACTCCTTATGTATATTTTTTTATCACAGATGTTTCCTTGGTAGAGGACTTTTCAGATGACCCACATATAGAAGACCATTGATTATACTGCATTAATAATTCTGAAGCTATTTTATGAATGGACTTACCAATAATACATTGGAATGTTGGTCCAACGGCAGCATCCTTAGCTGGGATTTCAGAAATACCACCAACAATTAGATCAATATCCTGCCAATTTTGATAGACCTTTTTAAGTTTTTCAATGTCCTGGAAATAAAAAAAATCAACAATGTCAGCACCATTAGTACCAAAAAACTGATAAGGATGTATTCTTACTTCAGCAGCAATAAATTGTTTCAGATCATCCCATTTCGATATTTTAACATTGGTGCAAACTTCCAAATATTTATAGTACGGTTGTAGACCATGATCTCTACCCCGTTGGATATCAAATGCCAAGGCATCACTGTGTGTTGGACGTCTTACGGAATTGGAAACAAGCTGTAAAAATAAAGATTCTCTTTATTTTTTTTTTTTCAAAGTTGTAAACAAATTCATTCAACCTACACTCTCCACATAAGAATTATCCATACGCATGGTACGTTGATGAATGACTGCATTAAGGATTTCATCCAACTTCTGGGCCGTATAGCTGATATTCGAATTATACAATTGATCCTTTAAGGTGAAAATATCCGTGGGTGGTACTGTGCTCGAAGCTGAAACATCCCCGAACCCATAATTATGCACATCATTCGGCATCATGGATAAATAAAAACGTGACGCAGCAATGGCATATTCATTGGATACTTCCACTGAACTTCCACTTTTTCCGATTTTCCGTTGTTCCTTCTCAATTTCTCCGACCATACTTCTACCCAACACATTGACCAACCATTCCTTCAATACAATCCTTTTATAGATATCTACATTTATAGTCTTGGCCGTTTGATATAACTTCTCATCATTCCATTGTGGATGGGCCTTTTTTAATGCGGTGGCCAATTGATTGTGATTACGCATAAATATCGTATATAAGGTAATGGTGAAGGGATTACTATTGACCCGGGAATCACCAGACATAAAACAATTGTTACGATCGCTACCCTCTTTGTCGAGGCGATGGGCACAGAAATGGTGTGAGTCCTTGGTCACCAATGGGAGAAGGGAATTTTTTATTTGCCCCGGATTAGTTGATTTCAACAGGCCATCTTTATAGAGACGTATACGTTGACGTGCAGATTCTGTGAAACCATATAGAGGGGACATATCCAAGTCACCAGTAGCTTGATTCAGCTGAAAATGAAAAAAATATATATTCACGCCTTTGATGGGCCTTCAAAAAAATATTCTTCAAAAAATCCACGCATTTGATGGGCCTTTAAAAAAATATTCTTTAAAAAATCCACGCCTTTGATGGGCCTTTAATTCGGGAGCTGCAAAAGTGCAAGTGTTGCCAACAGCCAAAGCACTGCGAACATAATTCAAGCAAGTGGCCTGACCATAACGCCTATTTGAATCTTCTCTTAGCAAAGGTGCACAGGCAGGATGATTGTGACGAGGTTGGATTCTATAATTCTGGCTACTACAGCATTCAATTGGGGCGCCATTACCTGTTGCGAATAAACATTTGAAATTATTTTTTAAATAGAAATCTCATTGTCGTTGAACTTACTCATCGAGGTTGCCACAGTTTTACTTAAATCCGATGATATAAATTGAGCCCATTGTACAACAGCCAAACTCCTAACGATGGTTTCCGTTTCACCACTTTCTTTTCCACTGTATTTTCACACAATTCCTTGCTAATGCTTAGAGGTTGGGGCAGATTTTCCGAATACATCTAAAATGCGTTGTTTAAATTAAATTTCTCTTAAATCTCTTAATTACCTTACCTTATAAAATCCATCTTTGTAGT